TAACATCCCCACACACCCTTAGGAAATCTAGTGATGACACAGCTGTAGGCAAGTGGTCCTGGGCAAGAAACTCAAAGCAAATGAGGCTGGTTCAGATGTTGAGGTGGAGTGACCCAACTTGCAGAAGTGCTGCTCGCCGTGGGACTGCTCAATTTGTGGGAGCACTATAAAGTTAAGTTGAATAAACCTTAAGAACGTAGCTTTCTATTTTGCAGAACATTTCACCAAGTGTGAAGCAGACCTGTCAGGTGTGAGGTTGGTGGTAACATATACTATTGGGTTTGTCTCCCATCAGGGGTGGATCTAATTGAGATGGCTGCAGCGGTCACTGTTCTCAGCTGTTCACCCTGCTCTCTCCCACTCCTGAGCTCCCTCAGCTTACGGTGTAGCACAACAGAACAAACTATAACTGGGGCTGGCACAGACCTCAGCCAACCCAGTTAAACCCACTTCCAGCCATGCTTATGTCTTACCTGACCAGAGGAAAAGACAGACATTTGGGAGGGCCCAGAAGAGTGGACTGCTTTTTAAATAAAAGGAATTAAATAAATTTTTATATATCTAGAAGAGACAGCTCAATCAGTGGGGCATGTACTCTTAATTCTCACTGCCTGCATAAACAACAGAGAACTTGTTAAATCATATTTAGCCAAGTAAGGCTGACCTCCCTAGACTCCCTACATTATTACTGGACAGACAGAAAATTGGTGGTATAGCTCCAGCTTTTATGCCAACGCATAAGCTGTGATCTTTGGGGCACATGGCTAGACTTGTCTCTTCCACAACATTAAAAAAGGTAAGCTGTCCGAATTGGTGGAGGTAGGTTCTGTATTTATAAAGTGTCACCAGGATGCTGACACATTACAGGAACAGGTTCTGTAAAACATGTCTTTATGTTTTCATAGGTAATTCAATGATAGCAAAAATCACCAAGACTATTTTGAGACTGTCACTAAATGAACAGCAAAGGGTCACATATATGATGGCTTTAAACTAAAACAGGGTAGGTTTAGACTGGGTATAAGGAAGAAATTCTTTACAATGAGGGTGGTGAAACACTGGAACGGGTTGCCCAGAGAGGTGGTGGAGGCCCCATCCCTGGAAACATTCAAGACCAGGTTGGATGGGTCTCTGAGGAACCTGTCCTAGTTAAAGGTGTCCCTGCTCACTGCAGGGGGGTTGGACTAGATGACCTCTAGGGGTCCCTTCCAACCCAAAACATTCTATGATTCTATGATTAAGCAACTCATTTCTACTTGGACTGAAAAGGAGGCAAAAATCCATCCATTTCTGATTCATATAAAGTTATTATATTTCCCTGACTTGCAATTCAAAATGAAAAAAACCCCCATCAACTATAGGCTTACATGGCAACTGCGTACTCGCAAAGCAAATACACTGATATGGTGTAAAATGACGTAGAGTGGACGCCAGGCAGTTACCACATACAAGTGGAAAGCAGCTGCCTGTTAGAGAAGTTTTAAGCACAGAGCCAGCCCCAGTCAGAAAAAGGAGTTGAATCACGCAGCCGTTTTTCCAGCAATGCCAGCTTCAGGTGTAAAGTGTTTGGTACACACGAAAAATGACTCATCCCGTTCAGGGCAAATCACCGTCTCTGCGGCTCACCCTCAGCTCGGCAGCAGCACGGCGAAGGCTGCACAGGCACAGTGGCAGTCTCACTACCTGGTGACAAGGCTGCTGTTTGGCTGCTGAGACTGAAGGAGGGAAAGAAACAGAGTAAGAAATAAAAATAAAATTTAAAAAAAAAAAAAGAAAAAGTGTGTGAAAGCAACCACGAAGATATATTGGAATAGGTAACTGCAGAGAGAAATGAGATATGAAAGAAAGGAAGGGAGAAGGGGGAAGAAAAGAGAAATGAAAAAAAAAAAAGACTATGGAGAAGGAAGAATGGTGGAAGAGAAACAGACAGATAGCAATAGGGAAGATATTTTGTGACACTTCAGCTGTTTCATTAGCGAGCCATTAAACCGATGAGAATTTCTCTTCCTACTTGAACCTTCTTAAAACTTATGGTAGTGGCAATCTGACTGTGCCTGTCCTTCACCTGCTTTCGTAATTCTGGAAGGATACACAGGACACCTGTTTCACAGATGCCAAGCCTCAGGTCTTATCTGCCAGTAGCAGCAGTTACCAGAGACAGGGGGCTTGAACGTCAGTTCTGCTCCCAGCTATCCAGGTTTCAATGCTACCTACGCCCATCACTTGAGCGTTGCTACCAGAGCACCTTCCAGGAGTGGGGGCAACAAATGTGGCTGATTATCTGCCACGTCTTCTCCTTTCCTTCTCTCTCTGCAGGGAGAAAAAGCAGAAGGCAGGAACCTGAGGTGCTCACCTCTGCAGGACATGCTGGCAGCCAGCACGCACGTAACACAGCACCATGGGACTGTGCTCAGCTGAGCTACCTAGAAGGGTATTTACACAGCTGCACCCAGCGTGGAACCACTGATGCCTGTGACACTTAAAGTCCCATCAAACTGATTAAATGCTCCTCAATCTTCATCTTCTAAGCAGAAGGAAATGCAAGAAGGAAACGACAGCAGAAATGCTGAGAAGTAAATGTAATTTTCCTTCTACTTTGATTACTCTGGGACTAGATTCTTGCTTTGAGGCATGGGCCAATGGATGCGCACAAACTAAGCTGGGCACTCACAGGGCTTTGCTGGCTTGCACATGTGTCTAAAGAAGAGAGAAAAGAAGGAAAAGTAACTGTGAATATATAAGTGGCCATGGATGTTCCTTGCCCATGCCCCTCCTTCATAAAGTTTTACTACGTTCTCAGCCTGAGCCTCTGTGGAAATTAATAACTGAGATAACGTTTAAATGCTCTGCAGGTCCTGCGGGAGAAAGGAGGGCTTTTTGTCGCAAAGAAATCTGCAGCCCACGCAGTGTTGCTTCTAAGAAACAGATACAGGTTAAAAACTGTAACTGAAACAAAGTTAACAGGACGGTGCCCCTTCAGAAAGGAGCAAACATTTGTCATTTCCTTTACGCTACAGCAGGAGCTGTGTGACAACCTGGAGGACAGCTGTCCTGTTCCTTTGTGTTCACGGGGAGTTGTCCCCCATGCTGCCATCAGACCGTGCTGTTCCCGGGTGTCAGGTTTACCCAGTGGCTCAGCTGTAAACACAGCCTGTCCTAGCCGAGCTGCATAACCCATAGAGGTCGTGCCCAACGATGCCCTGACTCCTTCATCCATGCTTCCTGCCTGGCTCTGACACAAGTGGGCCCACGGTAGCCGGGAGGGGTAGGAGATGTCAGATGGGGACTGCAGTCTGTGTGTGACTGGCAAAGCTTTCTAAATGGAAAAGACTACCATGGTACGTCACTGCAACTTCCCTCCAACAAATGCCAAATCAGAGGAGACAGACTCCCTCAGACACCGAATGCTGCAGGGGCCTCTTGATCTATGGATACATTCCTTGTATCTTAAAATCTTCATGCTTGGCCACTATTTCATGCTTTCTCGGCTTATGGAGCCAATGCTGAGGTTAGCCAGGGAGAGCTATTTACACTATGCCAACTATTGGTATTTACCTCTCCTTGTCCTGTAGGTGCCAGAGGACATAAATAGCTCTCCTCAACTGACCTGAAAGAAAAGCTGCCAGCCACAGAAGAGGAAAATGCTGTGGCTGCCTTAAACTTCCTTCCTGACTGATATTATTAGGAGGAAACACTGTTCCCGAGTTAGGGAGCCCAAGGAACTCATTTACCGTGGTCACTCCCATTTTGAATGTCATTCGCTTGGCATTTCACCAGCAGAGTCAAGTGTTGCTCTGCAGCGTGGGTGAGCGGGCAGGCATCCTTCCATGGCTGGATTGGGATTATTTCCATACTAAAACTCCCATGGTTGTGGATCCTAATGGACTCGCAAGATTTAAAATTATTAAAATTATGAAGATTTTTAAGACTGAAATATTGTTTCAGGCTGCAGTTGTGATAACATTTTTTTAAGTTAGGAAAAAAATATCATCCGCCACTGCATCTGGTCCTTCAATTAAAATGATGCCTCGGTATAAATGAGATCAGCCTAGGGCCTCTGTATTCCTAATGTGCAACCAAGTCTGTTTGAGTCTATTTACTGAAAACTTTACCTGTGAGTATCTACCTGGAATGGCAATCCATTACTTTTACAGACTCCTTCATGCACAGCCTCCCCGTTCAGGAAAAGCATGCCTAGGGAGTACAATGAGGCAAGTGCCATTCCTGGACAGGGATGCCTTCCTGAATTTGAAGGATTTGTTACTGCGCAGATCCAGCTCCCCAGTACTACCTGCCAAGGAGCCAGAAAACACAGAGGGAACTGTGTGCTGGAAGATCTGACTGAACATATCAAAGATGCTCCTGGACAGTCTCTTTTTGCTCATTTGCTTTGTTCAAGGCCCACCTCTAAAGACACATTAAGTCCCTAATGAACCATGATGACTTCTAGATGAACAAAATCAGGATTTCAGTAATCACAGGAAAAAGAAAACTCATAAAAATCCAGATTATTCTATAGTCCCATCTATTTTGAGTCTCTTATTTTAAACACAGTGGATTTTTTAGTTCCACGCCAGGAGTGTTTTGAATAGTTTTTAACAACAGGCATATAAATGAGGAGTGTAAGGAAGTTTTCTTACCTCACAAAACATAGGCAACTTTTTGGCAAAATCCACCACTCTTGTAATCGCTGGTGTGATAATTTTTGTAAACTGGCTGAAGGCTTCTAAATCCACTTTCCCACCTTCTGGGGCATTAACTATTGGTGCCTGCCCAATATCTTCTGGCTAAGGATATAAAGGAAGATATTTAAAGGAACAATCTATCTTAGAGCAAGTATTTTACACTCTTTAAAAAAAAAAAAGTCCTGCTTGGCAACAGAAGATACGCTAAAATAAAAAATAACAGTATTCACTTTATAAGTAATGTCTGTTATGCCACAAAGCTTGAATTTGTTTGTAAGACATTTGTGAAAGAGGTGACTGCACAGCGAAATGGGTGACCGGCACGCTGCTCCCCATCCTGCGTGGGCAGCTGTGTGTTTGTGCACAGGCAGCTTCTTCCTTGTGCCTGTATCCGAGTACTTTGTGGGTGTAGCTTATGCATTTTTTGCATAAAAATATAGGCACGTTCTTGTTTCCTACAGGTGCTGAGAAGTCTCAAGTTTATCTAAAAGTGAAGGGAGCTGAGTGACTTGTTGCCCCTGAAAAGATGCTGAGAGCTTTGCAGAATCGGGCTCTTTCACCTACTCGAAGTTCTGAAATTCTCCCCAGAACAGATTGCCTGGCATCACGGAGCTCCAGGCAACTGCCCAGGCCTGTTTCCAAAACTAGGCTAAAACAACCGATGACTAAGAACAGGCAAGCACAAAGCTAGTCTGGATAAAGCAACTAGAATTTGAACTCGTCTGGGTAGAGTTTTGGTTGAAATCACTTTCTGCATGACATCCGCCCAAGGCTTCTCCAAAAGAGAAAAAAAAAATCATATTTTGAGGATTTCAGTAAGGATATACAAGGAAATGGTTTCAAGCAATGAGTATTTTTTTATTCCAACTGCACTTCAACTTGTTCACCTGATTTTATGACACCTCGTCAATGTTACTGTGAATTCTAAAACCAGGCCTATCAAAGCTGTTCTGTTTGCTAAGTGTGGCTTTGCGGTTGCAAAAGACCTGCCAACCACCATGCAGAGGTTCCATTTTGCTCACATTAGGGAGTCAAAAACTAGATAAAACTCAGAGAAGGCGGCTGTCGTGGTTTAATCCGGCAGGCAGCTGGACATCGCACTCACTCCCCAGTTCATTCACTCCCCAGTGGGATGGGTGAGAGAGTCGGAAAAAGGTAAAACCCATGGGATGAGATAAAAACAGCTTAATAAAACAGCAGAGGAAAATAATAATAATACTAACAATAACAACAGTAATAATAGAATATACAAAACAAGTGATGCACAATGCAATTGCTCACCACCCGCTGACCAATGCCCAGCCTGTCCCCAAGCAGCGATCGCTGCTCCCTGGCCAACTCTCCCCAGTTTACATACTCAGCATGATGGCATATGGTCTGGAACACCCCTTTGGCCAGTTGGGGTCAGCTGTCCTGGCTGTGCCCCCTCCCAGCTTCTTGTGCCCCTGGCAGAGCATGGGGAGCTGAGAAGTTCTTGACTTGGTGTACGCGCTACTGAGCAACAACTAAAACATCAGTGAGCTATCAGCGTTATTCTCATCCTAAACCCAAACCACAGCACTATGCCAGCTACTAGGGAGAAAATTAACTCTGTCCCAGCTGAAAGCAGGACAAAGGCCTTTAAGACTGATGGACTTCATGACATTTATATAAGGGCATTTAAACAGGGGAGGTGCTGAAAGCGCTGTCTATACTAAAAACTTGTGCTCAGCAGTTTTTTAAAGCAACACATCATAAAAGATCCTCCCACAGCTCCATCGCCCATCTGAATCCAAATCTAACTTTTTTCAAGAAAAAACTCAGCAGTGTTTTAATAAAGCAAGCACCAATTGTAAAAGAACAATGAGGAGGACTGGGCTCAATTATCTGACCGTTCCTACTAAAAAACTCAAAATAATCCCAGTTCTAGGCTCCCTCCCTCCCTGCATCTTGGGAAACTAAACCACATTGTCTCTGTGCTTATGATAAACAACCTTCATCACTTCCAAGCAAGAAAACCAAATGCTTAAAACCACGCGTAACATTGTTAGGGAGAAAAAGAAAGAACGCGGCATTTTCTTGGGAAAGGCAAAAAGTCAGGATTGCTAGCTAAAGCTAACAGACTCCAGAAGGGCATGCAACTGGAGAGCCCACTGCCACCTAACTAACCTCAATAGGAAAAGAGGCCCAGACCTCAAAGGAGCTCCTGCTGTTGAAGGACCAGCCTCAGCTGCCTAAGGACTGACCCGCAGCTCCGGGGGTGCGCAGTCAGCTCCTCTTGCTCTTCAACCAAGCTTCTGGCAGAGGCTTTCAAAGCCCTCCTCCTCCACCTGGGGCTGGCAGGCCATCCTGGACTTCCCTTTCTGCAAGGTGTCGGTGAGCTCCTTACACTTGCCTCGAAACCGCTGGGCTTCAGCACCTGAGCAAGGAGCTAGGAGGCCCTGCAGCAAGGGCTGCACCGGGAGCCCTTCTGTCTGGCCTAAGGAGCCAGCTGTGGATGTCACAGCTGGTTTCTGAACTGCTCACTACAGCTGCCACCCCTGCCTCTCCCCAGCTGTCCCCTCTCCCAACAACCCTGTCATTACATCACCTCATGCCCTGCCTCTGGGCACCCTTTACTAGCGGCTCCCCCTCCGCTGTGACTGTCCCCAGAGCCTCAAGTCCCTCAACAACCACATTTTCCGTGGCCCAGTCCCTACCAGCTTTCTGCCCTCATTCCCAGCCCAAACCTCAAGCTCCCCAGGCTTTATCCCAAACCAGGAGATACTGGAAGAACAGCACTCCTGCCTAAGTAACCAAACGCGCTACTGCAGCTGCTCCTCAGTCTGCCTAAACCAGCGCCGCAAACCCTGCAGTGCAGCCCCACTGGGCAGTGCAGCCCCACTGGGAAATGCAGCCCCACTGGGCAGTGCAGCCCCACTGCTGCTGCTTGCCAGTGACCACCGGCTGAGGCTTCCCAGCCGCACGCTACTACTAACACGCAGCCATTCGTACAGAAATTTAGACAGTGCCAGTGGAATTAACAGAACACTACAAAAAGGGATCAGCTGGCTTGAATATATAATTTCTCTTAGCAATGTAACAGTGGGTCGAGATCCCCATGGTGAATTAAGCAGCAGGAGCCTAAGCTTGCAAAAAAAAGAATATTTTCTGTCTGATTTGGTATACACAGGCCACTAAAGACCCCTGTGTATTCCTGACATGCACTCCATAATCCCTTTTTTGTGCTGCATAAGCATTTTGCATTCTGCACCTATTTCCTTTAAAAATCGATTTAGAAAAAAATCAAATAAATCATTTTCTACAGCTGAGCATCACAAATCACCTTTTATTTTCTGATTCTTAGTTATAGGCTGAAAACTTAAGCCGTCTTGTCATCTGCAATCCCAATACTGTAGGGTGTGTATCATCCTGCTTTCACTGAAATTCATTTTTCTTTGCCAAATTTATTTTAATTAATGTGTTCACTTTGGAACAAAGAAGCAAAAAGCACGAGTTATTAATAAAAAATATCAGCTTTACTTAAAACTTGTCGTTGTTTTTAACACTTACAATATGTTGTATGCTAGTCCCTAATAAAGACAACTATCCCCAAATACAATATATAAAAAACCGATATGGTAAGTGTTATAGACTGCTACTGCTATTAATCAGGAGTGAAGCAATTCTTCTGCTTTTTCTGATCATAGCACATTAAAAGTATCCAGCTGGGTAACCCTTAACTCAGCAACATGCTGTTTATCTTTTCAAAAGATAAATTTTCAAATTATTTCAAATACATGGGCTGATGAAACACTGAGCTTCAGGTAAGAATAAGCAAGTAGTAATTATTAACATCATCCATTTTTCATGGATGTCAATACACTGACAGACAGATCCTCTGGGGGGTTGCAGCGTTGGGAAGGGACTTTGGAAGAAAGGAAGGAACCTGACTCTAGGAGCAATGCAGAAGTCCACAGTCCTTACCAAAAATTTCCTCTTCTGCTTCCAGTGGCTTCCTTGTGCATTGGTGGCCACGTGTGCTTCAGTAACGATTTTGATGAGCTCCCATTCCTCATCCGTTGGCTCTGGTTTGTGCCCAATTGTTTTTTGCAGCTCTTCCCGACGTCTCTTCTCTCGATTTTCTTCTATCAGCTTCCTTTTTGCCAACCGCTTGCTGTCATCCAACACCACTAGCAGGGGAAAAAGCACACAAAAATGGCAGAAAGCTCTTTAAGGTTGACTGAACTTTGGTCTTTTCTATGCCTGAGGTACTAATTGATTACAAACACCTTAACTAATCACTAAAGTAGTACTTTGGTAAGACCCACAGTTGACACAGTTCTCTTATTTCTCTCTCCAAACTTCATTTTCTTGAAGCCAGGATTGCAAAGAATGACTTACCCTTCTGGTAACATGATGTATACTACCACTGCCTTCAGTGGTTTATTCCGCCCATAAAACTAATATGTAAAATCTTTGTGAGGACTCAAAGTGCTCCTATAAGGGACTTGGAGTAACCCCTGTTGGGAAAGATGCACTTTTGTTTTCTTTAAAGAAGTATCATCATGTTCACTGCTCTGAATTGTGTAGAGTATATTCTTGTAAGCCAGCAGAAGGTAACGTGGATTTAAGAAAGTGGGAGTACTTATTCACAGGAGGCTCAACTACCTGTTGCATGACACAACGAGGAACGATTTCCCTCTGGCTCTTCCCGTCAGCCCTACAAACGGTGCCATTCTGCGGCTTTCCCCTAGAGCCCTGCTACTTCCAGCGATGCCAGACGTGCAGGCCCCAGGGCTGACCACCTCTGACCAGCGCAGAAGGTTTTATCCCGTTTTCCATACAAACATCAATACGCCATTTAAAACAGACTGTCCTGCTTTAGCGGAGGAGGGCCATTCCAATCCACACATGGGTGGCAGGCAGGTAGGAGCAACGAAAGCCCCGCTTACACGCTTCTGTCCACATGCATTAACTCTAAGGCGGGAGAAACCCTTCCTGAGTTGGGTAGAGGTGTAGCTGGCTTGTCTGCTGTGCTCCTCTGACGTAGGTGCAGCCCACGAAGGCCATGCCAGCTTTATGGTATTGGCATCTGCAGGTCAGAACCAGACTCAGAGACGCTTCCCACTCTACAGCCGCTGCCTGCTGCGTTGGACTGGGCTGGATGTGAACTGGTGACCCAGGGTTATCCAGCATCCTCCCTCCCCCCGCCTCCAAAGGTCCACCTGGCTAAAATGAAAATGAAATTGTGTCATTTCTTTTATTTCCCTCTAGACAGAAGACACCTTTACACACCACATTACCAATGAAAAATACTGAGTTAGAGCATTTTTCTGGTTTTTTATTGGGCCTATTTTCCTGTCAGTTCTTCTGCAGAGGATTACGCTGGCAACAACCATTAACATTAATGCACAGGGGGATTTACATGACTTCCTCCTGTTTGCACTAATTGAAGTTATCGGTGTAAATCCCCGTGCAACGGCAGGAAAAGACGGCCCCTAAGGGTTAATCTTACAGCCATATGTTCTAGTTCTTTAGAATGAGAGTCGAATTCTTTGCAGTAGATAACTTCTTCAGGGCTAAAAATAAAACAAACAACTGCAGGATGACTCATACAACGACATTCAATTTCACATCCTCCAGAATTTTCTAAACAAGATGGTTTTTTTTTCAAGCAAAGTGTCCATCCAGATGCATTTGTCCCTCCTCTCCTCTGAAGAGTGAACATTCCTACTGCTACTCAGCCTGGTAAGACCAGGAGAAGGTGCAGGCTGGTGAAGGGTAAACAAAAAATTACAGCCCTATGAAAGTGGTTTCGTGCAATGAACATAATTCCCTGATACAAGTTATTAAAAACAAGAAAGCGCTGGCAGTTCTGCTCCACTTTAACAATCTTCACCAATCAACATACTTTAAGCAAACTCACACATTAAAAAAAAAAAAAAAAAAAAAAAAAAGAGAAAAGAAAGAAAACCAGAAAAATATACTTACAATCTGTTGCCATGCCAACAAAGATACATTTTTTGAAGCGACATTCCTGGCACTGATTTCTTGTTACTTTGTCTATCACACATTTTCCTTCATATTTACAGGAATAGGTTGGATGGAGGTTTTTCTGAATGGTTCTTCTAAAAAAACCCTAAGTGCAATAAATAAATATATTGGAAAGCATTAGCATCGTGCAATTGCTTCAAATTGGTTTGGTAGGAATGTACCTAAGTATGTAAGATAACATACTTCAATCCACGAAACTCTCAAAGAGGAAAAAAACAAACCAGTTCTATAGTGTTGTATTTCTTTTCTGAGTTTCACAAAACATTTCCTCCCTAAGAATTAAAAAAACATATAGACATCTTGGGTAAGTAAAGGCAGATGTAATGCTGTCTTGAGGGACAAATACCATCTACATGTCATCTTGAAGTCTTATGTTTCTGTGTGTTAGAATTTTTTTGTATTTGAACTAGAGAGTTTATTTTGAGCTCCTTTCTAAATTACACAGTCATTTTGAGGGATATTAAGAGGCATATACAGTCTTCTAATTAAAGAGCAGCTTCTACAAATAGTAAGAAAGGCGGTGTGTATGCGCTACTAAAAGATTAAGAACAGTTCTACCCCTTTTTTTCCATCAAAGCCAAATAACCAACCAACCAACCAAATCTGGGCATGACTAAGAATTTTGCAAACACAATTTACACAAAGTTTGGTTCTAAATAATGGATCCAGTTTTAAAATTTTCTCTATTCGTGAGAAGAGGATTTCATTTCTACTTACCACAGACCTCTGTATTCAAAACAAACACCACCCTCTAACTAAAAATCCATTCTATCTACCTACCTACCTACCTCTCATTATACAGATCTATATTGCCAATTGCAACACAGATATGAGGTCAGATCCTAAGCTTGTGCGAACTAATGTAGCTCCACTGAATTAATTGATTTATACACCCCATAGGCCCTGGCCTTAGGTAAAGAAATCAGCTACAACTTATCTCTGAACATTATGGACCTAATTTCAACATGACTTTTTTCATTGACTTCTGCAAAAGCTGGATAAACTTCCCAAGACCACAAGATATGGACAAGGTAGGCTGTAAAGCAAGAAATTTAGACTTCACTTTCACTTCAAGTTTCACCATTGTTTGAGACTGTCCATATTCAGCAATGCAGCTTGGGACCACCTCGACCTAGAGAACACATTGAGACCCTGGTCCTGTTTGACTGAGGCCACGGAGAATGGCTTTGGCTTCAGTGAAAACAATGGCAAAATTCAAGTGAGATTTTACCTAATGAATAGTCTCTTCAGCTGGGATTTTGCCTAATGAATAGTCTCTTCACTTCACTAGCTGAAAGGTTTGTTTTTAATCATGTTAAATAATACCCAGTAAAATCTTATAGCAGTGTGTAATTTCTTTTAACACAGAATGTTGAATTAAGACATACGGATAAGTCTGTATTTCAGCTTGAGCTCCTAACTCCAATGAAGACATTAAAGAGCCTTCTCCTCATTAGTTTTCTCTTACAAGATCCAGCTTGAGCTAAGAGTAGAACTCTTTTTTTCCTTAGTAACAGTAAGATGTGAAATTTCAATTAAATGAGTTGCATAAAGCATGTGTATGAGCCTTTGCAAGACTGGGACCTGTTGGGTTGAGCCAAAATCCAGGAAATCATAGGCAAGACGTCCTTATGTGGGGTTTGGATCAGGTCTCAAACTCTCATCTACCCAAACATTGGATTTGGATCCACTCTCAACCCTGTGCTGAATTCCTAGAGACAGGAGGTGCCCCTCTCCTCCCTGAAGATCATAGATGGCTCTGGACAACCAGGGACATGGGGTAATCTCTAGTTACAGCAAGAGATGGAAAAATGTCTGATGAGTCTCAGGAAGTGGTGCTGAACTTCTGTTTTCCAAACCTTGCATGGGACTTAACGGAGCTCTAGCTTTACAGTGGCAAGGCTCTTAACCACCTACCTGTGTTGGGACCAGCACATTTCACCTTCCCATTTCTCTGCATTTCTCAGAAACTTTTTGCAAAAAATCTCTTTGATCATCTCTAGATACAATGTGATAAGGAAGCTGCTCTCTATAGTTGCCCAAACACTTTATCACAGAAGTGTTATTTTCACCAATAAGAGAAAGCACATTTTATTGTAAGGCTACTACTCTTCCTAAATTCCTTTACTATGCACCTATACAGCAATAGATGCAAAGGGTACGGTCCAGAGAAACATTTCAGTGACGTCAGAACTCACTGTTGGGTTTATTTGTATTTAAATTCCTTACAATTTACTCTTCGGAAATCATGTGTGAGGATCCTTTGTTCACGACAACACTTGCCAAAGCCAATTTTTGGCTGTCAGCCCTGATTAATGTTTTTACAAAATTAAAGTGATTTTGAGCGGAAGCAACTAGTAAATGTCAAATTCATTGAGAATTGATTACATATAACTTTGCTGATAAATCATACAACTTCAAATGTGTTGGCAGGTCCTCCAAAGCACGGGCTGAACCTGTCCACAGAACCACCCCCCATCCTGTACATTGAATACATTTGCAAAAAGAACAGCAAATCAAAACAAAACAAAGTGGTCTGTAAGCCAACTAAGTAGGAGAAGGAAATTAATTACTTTTTGAAAATTGTTGGCTTAGTTCCTTGTGCACATAAGCATTATTTTGAATTGTACATCAGACAGAAGAACTGTATCTGAAGATAAAAGTAGATTTTGTATGCTATACCTTGAAAATAGCTGGTAGGCATAAAAATAAATACTTCAGTTGGAGTAACAAAAGCCTTAGTAGGAAAGCTGGTGAGAGATATAGCTGTTCAGGTGGGAGCAAAAGGTATTTCATAATGCCACAGCGTTGCTTACTTCTCATTATATCGGAATTAAGTCATATTCGTACATTCTATGTATTGCTATCATCTGGTATATGGGATGCAAATGTCAGAATCACTCATTCAGCTCCATTTTTTTTCAGATATAAATATTCTTTCATACATATTATGTATGTATATATTACAAATATTACCATAACCTGCTATACATAGGGTATTTAGGTCTTTGTGCATTTCATAAATGTAACTTAGGGCAAGTCTGTACAACTGAAGGAACTACTTCAACACAAGAGTTACGGCAGTGTGGAGCTCTAAAGTCAATCCAACCCCAAAATCCCAAATCCAAATATTCTAGGCTTTGGGGAATATGACTTTTGTGGCTTAGTCCCATGACACTAGTCCATGACATGTGTGGTCCCATTTGTTTAGAAAAACGTAAATCTTTTTTTTTAATTTTCTGCAGGAAAGAATAGCTTTCTTACAGAATCTCAAGCTATCTGGGCAAATTTATGGCAGCGAAATCATGTAAGATGTGCCTGATTGTTACTCAATTTTTTTTTTATTTACTTGCCCAAAGCAATTTCTTTTTTAATTTTGCACGTAGCTTTGGAGATGCAATTTCGGGCTGAAAGCACATTTCAATATGCCTAAGTTAAAAAAGTCAACATTTTTTTGAAACTGTTTTAACTGGGTGTCAACGCTTCCCAAAGCAATGGATGTTGCTGTTGTATGAGCATGTGGAAGGGATTTTGATTGTTGCTTCTTCGTGGTGACAATGAGGCGCACTGGAAGACTGTTAATTGCTACAGACTCTTCATGGCCATAGGCAGAATCTCAGCTGTTGTATAAACAGCTTCGCTGGAGTTGCTGGGAGTATGCTGATGTACACTGGCTGAGAACACGGCCAAAGAAACGTTAAAAAAATGGAAATGGAAAAGCTAACAGTTAAACAGCCACAACAGAAATCTAAATTTCTTGTTTTCTTTTCAGAAGCAAACACTGCAAAAATCAACTACATTCCTTATGCATATGAAGAGCAGTGGCATGGCCAGATACGGCTTATCATCGGTACTGGATGTTCCTATTCGCTTCTAATCTGTCTTTGTTTTATTTGACAGCACAGGTCAGGAAGTCTGTATAATGGAGGAGCTGGAGAGCTATTTCTGATTCCTACTTTCCCACTGTGCCATTTACCTTGCAACCTTCGCAAGTGATGCAGCGATAATGATATCCGGTGGCTTTGTCCCCACAGACTACGCACAGCTCATCCTTGTCTAAGTAACTGGGTATATACCCTGTAAAGAAAAAGAGGACATTGCATGTAAACGTGATACAAAATGATGCGATACATTTGAGACAAAAATATACTAAAATCCACTTGTCTATCTGAACTCACTGAATTTCCCAAATAAAAAGCTCATACCAACAACGTTACAGACCTGTTTAAACATAAGCTATAATATCTTCTACTTTTCACACTTTTTCAGCATCTACTGGTCAGGAGGAGAAGGTGGCGCATGACTGCTCTCTCCTGAGTGAAATACTACCTCAGAAAAATAAATATATTTATCTTTACCTCAAAGGCTTTGATGTGAAAAAAACCAACAAACCAACTGCAAGATGTACAGTATATTCCTCTACTCTGTTTCACAAACCCCCCCAATATACTTGTACACTGAAGATGAGATCCTAGGTTGCAGGGTGACTCAGGGACCTGGTCGCAAAAAACATTTACCAAGGGACGGGACTTTGTTTCAAACCAGCTCCGCAGGTGTGGTTAGAGATAGCCCAGGCTGTATTGATCATACCTTACCTGGGCGTGTTCTGCAGGAACATTTAATACAGCCTGAATTTAGGGCAAAATACGTGGGCATTCAAATATGCGTGTGTGTACGTGCATGTGTTAGAATGACATTTTCTCTTCTGAAGTGGTTTACCAGACACCCAACAAGTGAAATAAAATATTACTGCTATGAAAAACATTGGCAATGCTTGGTTCTTTTCCCACAATGACATTTGTTTTGATAACATGAGCATATTTTCAGTTTGAGCAAAAAACCAAAACAATTCTGATGGCAACCAAAAAGTAACTCTGAACTAAAGAGAACTTTGAAACAGGGTAAAATACAAACCTTTCAAAATAAGTGTTCCCATGACTCATAATTAATGGAGTTATGGTACGTAACTTTTCCTTCTGAAAAAATCTCTCTGTAAAGATGTAACACAGAGATCTCAGATTCACCTTGAGGGGAGAGAGGAAAGTGCAGCTATCTGTGTAACCGCCTAAGATTACTAAAGTGTAGTACATGTTTCACAGAATCCCAGAGTTGCTGAGGTTGGAAGACACCTCTGGAGGTCATAGGATCCAACCCCCCCTGCTCAAGCAGGACCACCTACAGCCAGTTGCCCAGGACTGTGTCCAGATGGCTTTGCAGTATCTATCTCCAAGGATGAACCTTCCTGGGCAACCTGTGCCAGTGCTTGGTCGCCCTCATAGTGAAAAGAAAAGATTGTTTTATTCCCTGTAATTTTATTTGTGCCCATTGCCTCTTGCCCTGTCACTGGACACCACGGAGAAGAGTCTGGCTCTGTCTTCTACTTGATGGGGGATCAGGGATTTATATACATTGAGAAGACCCCCTTGAGCCTTCTCTGCTCCAAGGCTGAAGAGTCCCCGCTCTGTCAGTCTCTCCTCATCAAACAGATGCTCCAGTCCTTTCATCATCTTTGTGGCCCTTTGCTGGACTCGCTCCAGTATATCCATGCCTTTCTTATATTGCAGACACTGCCGACACTGCAGACGTGTTTTACCAGAGCTGAGCAGAGGGGAAGGATCACCTCCCTCATCCTGCTGGTAATGATTTTCCTAATGCAGACCAGGATGCCGTTGACCTTCCTTGCCTGAAGGACACACTGCTGGCTAATGTTCAACTTGCTGCCCACCAGGAGCCCCCAAGTACTTCAGTGCAAAGCGCCTTCCGGCCGGTCGGCAGCCAGTCTGTACTGCTACATTTGTTATTCCCCCCCCAGTGCAGAATTTGGCATTTCCCTTTGGTGAACTTCATGAGATTCTTCTCATCCCATTTCTCCAGCCTGCCTAGGTCACTCTGAACGGCAGCACCACACATCTGGTGCACCAGCCACTCCTCCCAGTTTTGCATCATCTGCCGACCGCCTGAGCACAATTTATGAGTGCAATGAGGGACAGACCTTTGGATGTCGCTGCCTGTAACGCTATCACTTGCCACTGGCTTGCTGAACCCATCTGTAGCACCACACATTAGACTAGACTTCAAGCTTGCTGTCTTCGCGCAGCCCTCACACCAGCATGGCTTGGTACAGCTCAGGGTTGGCACACCGGTCACACGGAGGGCAACCAGCAACAAGACTCAGGGCAGCAGAAACCTGTTGGAGGATACTGCAAGGGGGGTGGCCGTCATCCTCCTGTGACTAACTTGCCAGAGGGCCACCTCAGTAACAGACAGCTTAAATTAAACTGCCTTCCCCGGGCCCCACTTGCCAGAGGTTCTCCAGAAAGAAGAGCCCAAATCAGAGAGAAAATACTTGAAACAAACTGAGCTTTAAATACTCAAAACTTTCTGAGGCTATTACCCCCATCCTGCCCCCCTTTTGCTCACACCTGCCTCTGCACGTACAACACATACGCAACATGGAGACGACACAGGAGGCAGAGAGTCAGCAAAGGGGTGCAGAATTTTCCGCTAAGTTTCTCGTAAAGGTTAACGGCTTCTTGTTATTGCTGGTTACTGCTATTAATGAAACGCAGACTTAGCGTAGCATAGACTGTCCTCTAAAATGCAGTATTCCCAGTTTGCTTCCTCAGGAATTACTTCTGAATTAAACGCCTTGATATTTCATTAAGTATATAATCTGGTTAGCACTGCTCACGTAATAGCAGCTTTGTTCTATTGGAGGAGCAGGACACCACTTGTCTAAACCACTTCCTTAAATATAGACAGTAGCTTGCACATGTGACCACTGGTGTCTGTCTCCTCCTTGGAGTTTCATGACTTTATCCAACCCAGGAAAACAGTTTCCAATCTGGCAGAAAAAACCCAAATCTCCTACAGCTACTCCCAGTCAGAAATGAAAAACCGCATCCTTACATGCAACCACATTCCCAATTTTACTGCATCAGAAGTGTTAAGTGCCAGCTATATAAGCTACTTAAATATTACGTCCATCAGTTTTGCAGGATTGTGCCCATGTCGCAAGGTAAGCACATGCTTTGAACTCTTCTCCTGATCCAACAGGAAACGCGGATGGAAAAATCTTATCCCAAGAAATCACTGGCAACAAAATGTGCAAAAAACATATTTTTTCTTTCTATTACAAATCTGAGAGTAATATCCACACTTTTGTGTATTTTAAACCCTCCTTCCAACAGCTAAGTGGGGTTGGAAACTGCTAGAAAGTAGGAAAATTGGACCTTCAGCAGTATTCTAAAAAGATATAATTCAGACAAACAGACATCATGCCAAGAGGAATAAGGGGACTTGCATTCAGGTCTTACCAACCGTAATGTCCGCTGTAAATAATTTGTAGTAGTTGCAAATATCCAGCCTGTCCTCTATAGAAATTCAATGCGATTTCATTTGTAAGACGGGCAGATAAGCATCCTCAGTGCATTTTTGCTGCTATTCAGAAATAGTTTCAGCAG